CATGTAGGTCTAACTTCATTTTTGAGCCATTCTCGGCAACCTTCAATTCATTGTCTTTCTTTTGAGTCTTTCTTAGGCTTTCAAGGGTCATTCTGTCTTCATCATCCTCTGGCTTGATAGTGGTCGCCTGAAGACTAACTTCTTCAACCAGCTCCTCTCGTTCTTCAAGCCTTTTACATGACCGGCATTGTCGTTCTAAACAGAGTCGCCTGGAAAGAATGTTGCGTTGCTATGGATGCACTATCGATGCACTATCTCGAAGTTGTATGGTTGCAGTCTTTCTATCCACCTAGCAACTTATTCTTCAGGTTTTTTAAAATTCATCAGACACTGCAAGGCGCCATGGTCACTAATAATAAAACGTCTGTTAAAAAGGTAGATGTGAAAGTGTTTAAGGACGAAAGTACCTTCCTGGTTATCGATATACCCCTTGACCAGTAGATGTTGTTCGTTTTTATTTAAAGTTTACACTTACGTGCGAATTTTGGGGCCCTCTGTTACAGCCGACGCCTGTCCCGTAGTGTCGACCTTTATTCGTTTCCATGACTATTGCTAGAAAGCCGGCTAGGTGTGGGTGACCGGCTTCTCCGGGAGGTATATCTGCTGTAATTATTTCTTGATAGACTTCTGACGGGCTTCGGGAGGTTGATCTAGGCGAATTTCTGGTATCATTCCCCGATTCTCGATTTACAGAACGAGCCCTGCTACGACAAGTTCTTTGAAGGTGTCCAACTCTTCCACAATTAAAGCATCTTCTGCTTTCATTTTGGCTATTTCGTTGTATACTTTGCAGGATATTTAGGATTTGTAAGAGGGTATGTTGAGGGATAGTATTAGTAGTGGCCTCTTCAGTTTCTTAAAATCGAATTTCTTTCAATCTTGCGCGAGAAGATCTAGATATACTTTCTGCTACTTCGTATTCCTGGATTGCAATAAGTGTCTCACTCAACGTCTTGTGGTGTTGTAGCTGAAGAGTTTTCTGCATTTCCACGTCCTGTAGTCTATCAATGAATGCTTGTATGTCGATTTGTTCTAAGAAATCTTTAGGTGCCTGTGGATAGGCCAGATGCAGCAATCTTTTAATATCGGCTTCAAATTCTTGTAGACTCTCATTGTGTTTCTGACTACGAACTTTTAGCTGACTTTGGAATACCTGTTTTAAATGCTGCTGGCCATATCTTGTCTCCAACACTTGCACGAGTTCGGGAAAGATTTTATTGGGTCAATTGTCGACGGGATATAGAAGATTGGTGTAAGGAATGTGACCTTTGTAATGACAGAAAAGGGCCTAAAACAAGAAGTCGAGGTAAAATGACGCAGCAGCTTTCCGTAGAGCCTTTCAAACGAATCGCCATAGATATCCTCGGACCATTTCCCTTAACAAAAAGGGGAAACAAATAATTGATGCTTGTTATGGACTATTTTTCAAAGTGGCCCGAAATAGTACCAATTCCTAATCAGGAAGCGACGAATATATCGGAAGCATTTATGACGAACGTCATTGCGAGACACGGAGTCCCCCTGGAATTACATTCTGACCAAGGACGAAATTTTAAATCCGAATTATGGCCTGGCCAGAATTGATGAAACTGTTAGGCATCAGGAAAACATGCACTACGTCTCTCCACCAACAGTCCGACGGAATGGTAGAAAGACACAATATAACGATATGCCAGTATCTTTTAATGTTCGTCTCTGATAATCAAAAGGACTGGAACACTTTAGTTCTTCTATTTCTGCTAGCCTACCGAAGTTCTGAACATGAAACGACCAGTTATACTCCATCCATATTGATTACTGGAAGGGAGATGAACCTTCCACACGTTCTTCTTTTTGGAAAGCAGCCTCATCATGACGAAAAGGGCCGTACACCTCCCACGTACATACAAAACTTAAGAGAAAGATTAGAGAAGGTACACGAATTCGCTCGGCAACGTGGATAGAAGACAAGTTATGCGGACAGCAAGTGCTGACACAAATGTTCAGTGAAACCATGCCTCTTCTCTACTGTGGAACCTAGCGGCAGATGAACTGCTGATAACACTAAACAGTCAAGGGCTATATGCCCAAGGATATGCCAACGACAGAGTCATTCTTATTCGAGGGAAACACCAAACCACAGTGTTTGAACTCATGCAAAGAGGTTTTAGGCTGACAGAAATGTGGTTCGTTAGGGAAAACCTCTTGGTAAACCCTGACAAGGCACAACTCATAATCTTTACTCGGAAAACAAGGTTGGAGGTTTTAGAAACTCTGACTCTGTTTGGACGAATGCTAAACAAAACGAACCAAGTAAAATATCTGGGTCTAATCCTAGATAGCAAACTTACTTGGAACCAACACTTACAAAAAATGACCAACAAATGTAAAATGTCTCTCATTGTAATAAGACGGGCATTTGGAAAAACATGGGAATTAAAACCAAAAATGGTTCACTGATTATATTTAGCAATAACAAGACCCATGATAACTTATGGAGCGGTTGTTTGGTGGCCAAAAGTAAACCAGAAAACAGCCCTCAATACCCTCTCAGGAGTACAAAGGCTGGCATGCCTTTATATTACAGGAGCACTGAGAAGTACACCGACAGCCGCTAGGGAAATCATTCTAAACCTCCCACCCCTTGACCGAGTCATAAAGGGGGAGGCCAGAATGAGTGCATACAGACTGGAAATATTCAATAACTGAAACCCACTGGGACATATAAAACATACCAGAATAACACATGAAGTAAATATTTCTATATTAAATATGGGATCAGATCACATGACACCACTCCTAACCTTTAACAGACTCTTCCAGATCAACTGTAACTGGAAAGAGGTAATTAAGAAAATAGATAAATACTTGCTTAGCGGTCTCGTATGGTATATGGTTCGATCTAAAACTAACAAGGGCGTACATGGAGTTAAACCCAAATGCAACATCATCGTCTCACTGGGAAAATATGCCACTGTATTTCAGGCTGAAATACATGCAATCTAATTGTGTGTATCGAATTTAAGAAGGAAGTACAAAAAACAAACCATCTTAATTCTCTCAGATAGCCAAGCAGCCTTTAAAGCTCTTGATTCAAATAGAATCAAGTCAAAGCTTGTCTGGAACTGCCTTGGAATACTAAATGATCTTACAACCCACAACAAGGTAAAACTAGCGTGGGTACCAGGGCACAAATGTATCCAAGAAAATGAAAAGGCTGATGAACTCGCCAAAGAGGGATCAGATCTACCATTCACAGGACCCGAACCTGTATTTGGGATAAGCAAAACCTCTACTCGACAGGCAGTGAACAGGTGGATAACCACAAAACACCAAATTCATTGGCAACAGATAAGAGGGCACAGAATCAGTAAGCTCATGCTAAGGGGACCAAACCCACGCATGACTACTGAGGCACTACAACTCGCAATGCCTCAGATATCCACCATTGTGGGATTACTAACGGGACACTGCTTGCTGAAACACCTTCATGTAATGGGATTACACAATGATCCCACTACGTGTAGATTGCTTGGAAGAGGAATAAACCTCATATTATGTGATCTTCGAATGCGAAGCTCTAACTAGGTGACGTTTCATCCTTTTTGGTAGTTCACATTAAAAAGTTAGCGCCATATCGTGGTCCAGATCCTCCTCGTTGGCTCCAACCAGATCCCAGTAATCAAGTTATTCGGGGCGAATAACGAGAGGGGGAATAAAGTTACGCAGCACCCTGCAGTAGCCTGCGGCTGTTATAGAAAACGTGCGAATACAAAAATAAGTGCAATGTTACTAATCGCCCTACAGTGTGCTGCGGTTGTCATAAGTAAAAGTACGAGTAAAAGAAGATAGAATAGTCCAGAAATGCCTGTAAATGTCATTACTTGTCAAGAAAATTCTAGACGACAGTTCGAGAAGGTTCGAGAAGCAAGCTGTATAAGTCAATGATCCTGACGTCAGTTTTTAGTTTTATGATAGACGTTATACGTTAATGTTATCAGTTGAATTGCTATTGTAAAAGTTAAGTTGAAATAAATTGAGATACCAAAAGCCTGCATAACAATATTAATTTCTACCTTTTTACAATCTCAAAATATATTATAAATAAAAATTATAAACCAGCATATAAAACTCCCTATTTATAAACAACAATTTCATGTGTTGAAATACAATATACAATTCCCCAAATTAGAAGAGGTTACTTGCTTAACTTATAGTTAAGACCAAATTATTCATGAAGAAAAATATAAAAATCATGAAATTCTACCATAAAATGTAAATCATAAAACACTTATATAATAAACACATAAATAAAGTCATAAACACATAAAGGGTCTTATGAGATGACCATAAGTGTTTTATAATGCTGTAAAGCAAGGAGGCGACAAACACTAATCATAATTTATAAATTGACAACAGGTTGATCGACGGCTGTTACAACGGTCGTGGACTGGCTTGAGGACAGCAGAATATGGTGGTACTTCAGTCTTTTCTGAAGAATGCTACTGCGATAAAGATAATAAAATATAATTTAATAATAAAGAGTATGTAAGTAAGTAGGATTTCAGTATATTATCGCATCCAGCGGCTAAAATATAAACGTTATGACAACCAACCCGTGTGACAACTCAAATAGCACAAGATATTCTGAGAATATGCCCTTATAGCATGTATATATTCCGAAAATACTGAGAATGTGATTAGAATATACCAGCGTTTGTGGAATATTCTATGAATATTATTTGACGAATATTCAGGGAATACTTTTTAATAATATACCAAAAATATTCTTTTGGGAATATTTAAAAAAACGCATGCTAGGAATAATATAAAGATATTGAATAAAAGTATATTGAAAAATTTTATAAAATATCAAATTATTTATGAAATATATAATATTTATTTTCTATTGTGCATCATAGAAATAATGTAAAAAAACCTTTTCTAGTAACCTTAAAATAAGAGGTGATATCAGATATCATATGGTAAAGAAGAAGAAAAAGAAGAAGAACTCTGACTTGACAAATGAGCTGTTTCGGGTTTTTTAGGTTATTTGCCATTTTGCCGTTGATATCCCGCTTATGCTTTATTTGGCTTTATTTTTAGATTTTTTAGTGATATAGTTGCCTTTATTACAGAAGTAAGTATTTGTGTTAATTGTGGTATTTGATGTAGGAATTTTGCTCTTTTTTTAGGTAAGTAATTGCATTTTCTACATAAAATGAAAAGATAAAGATATAGTACCTGGTACCGACATATCGACAAAGATGTCCAAGATTTTAAGAGTTCTGCTTCTGTAACGAGTACTGATGTTTCCACCTGTAAAGATTTTGATCACTTAGCAGGTACATCAAAATCTTGTGCTAGTCCCTGTAAATCAAAATATTCATTTAGTCCATGTAAATTTTCAAGTCCCTACAAATCTTTTTCAAGTTCTTCTAGCTCTTGTTCTAGTTCTTCTATACAAGTTTCGGATTTAGAATTTAACAATGAATTGAACAGCAATCCGGTAGTAGACATTAAAGAACAGAAGGGTGAATGTAAATCCCGAAAATTAAGTGTAACAGACAAACTTAGTACTTGGGCTATTGATAATAAAATCACCCATTCAGCCTTGCATGGTTTATTAAAAATTCTTTCTGAATCAAGTGAAACTGACATTAAAAATTTTCAGTCATTACCTACAGATCCAAGAACCTTTTTAAACACCCCCCCGAAATATTTGCCTACGGGAGGTTGCACCAGGTCAGTAGTTAATTTAGTTGTTTTTTTTTCTTCAGTTGTCAATACATGACGTTTTAGCTTTGTATTTTTTTAAAGTTTTGATTTGTTTATTTCTATAATATATTAATATTATTTTGTACATACGAATTTTATTCAAATTTAGTATATTTTTAGGTTTTTAATGATGTTTACATACAGTAAACCACAGGTAATTTCTATTTCTAAAGGTGAAACTATATTATATCGTTTTTGGAAATCTATTTATGGAGTTACAAAGTGCAAAAAAATAAAGGGAATAGGAATACAGGGCGGGGCATTTAAAAAATAAACGGACATTTTTTGGTTTGCATGTTATGCCAACTAATTTTAAATTGTATCCTTACATAATCAGATTTCAAAATAATTATTGATATAATATAGTTCATCTCAAGAAATAAGGGTATTATTGTCCTATACTACCTAAAAATATTCTAGATAAAAAACCTGCCTAGAATATCCTTTAAACCTACCTAGAATAGGTATTCATAAACCTTCCTAGAATATCCTTTTTTGAAGCATCTTGGTTATTCCTAAGACATTCTGAGAATAATATAAGTATACCCTAGATATTACCAGAATATTTTTTTAGGATTATTCTCAGAATATTTCGCAATGAATATTTAAAAGATAACCTATGAATATCCTAGATATTCCTAGAATATTCCTGAATAATATTCTCAGAATATCTAAGATTTTCCCATTCCTATATTCTAAGAATATTCCTGGTGGATTTTGGATATCTAGAGGATATTCTCAGAGCCATTCAATATTCCAAAAAGCATATTCATGGTATATGCGACGTATATCCAGTGCTATTTGGGCTATAGACCCGGTCTCCCCTCTTGGACTTTTATTAATACGTTATTATTTGATAAATAACAAATACATTGAGTGATAATATTTAAAATGATTAGAGTTTTGACCTCCGCAGATCATTAATGATTGTCTTGTTTTTAGTTTAGTAAAATTTGTATAATAAGTATGTTGATATTTTATTATTGCTTTGGCTTGGTACTTTTTTGCAGCACAAATGCACGAACTATGCCAGAATACTCAGTAAAAACAGCAGGAATATCGCCAAAAAATCCGTCCAACAACCCTTTCTGTAAGTATTTTTAACTGGATGTAGTTAGTTTTCGAATACAATTATTTAATACTTTTAAATAAATTTAGAAAGTGTTTCTTAATAATTTAAAAGGTGTGCGTGATTGAAGAATTTAGGTATCATATAACATTTTAGTATAGTTATTAAAATAAAGAGTAAGCCACAACAAAAATAAAGTAGAGCATGATATGAGAAGACAGAAATACATGTTATGTACGTAATAATTACGCACACCTCTGAATTAAATCAAAACTGTTATTAAAAAATGAATAAAAAATGTCCCTCCACTATTCGTAATTTTTTCTATGGCCTATTTAGAATCAGTTTTTGTGAATCACTCTATACAACGTTTGCGCAAAAATGTGTTCACGCATGTTTATCTACGACTTCCTATAATAGTTTTTCTTCTTAACAAAGTATTTTTTTTTTTTTTTTTTCAGGGAAATGTGGAGAAAATGAATTTGCTGAGTTATGCTCATGTACAGTGCTACAACCTACTTGCGGTAACATAAATCCTGAACTAATAAAAGGAGCTTGCCAATGTTTTCCATTTTGTTTGTGTAAACAGGGATATGTCAGAGATGAGGTAACAAAAGATTGTATTTTATCTAAGAATTGTCTATAAAATTTTAAACTCATAAAGTTATTTACTGTATTTTTTGTTTTATTTAAATGGGTAATTTACCAACAATACATTTTTCAAACTTAATTTTATTATTTAACATCCACGAAACTGGAATAATTAAATAAAACTACTTTTTTGGTTGAGCTACTTCTTACTACAACTGATTCAGATTCTAACCGTATGATGTCAAATAGTGTTATTAAAATGCCTGTGATAGACGGACGGACAGACACCGAGATGATACATGTTAATGAGGCGTTTAAATATAGTAGACTTCAAAAAAAATATAAAAGAATATTATTGACATACAATAAATAATTATATTGACATAGGCGTGTCAACTAGCTTAAAATATGCATATAAGTATTTATAGTAAGTACAGTGAGCACCATAAGTCTTACCCCCCCCCCCCTATCTAACTCGTTACTGGAATCTTGTAAAAAAAATAGCTGAGACACGTCGATTTTTGATTTCTACAATGTACATTTTTGTATGAATAGTTTACCATTAATTTTATCCCTTACTGGAGGGGAGCAACCCTTTCGAAAAATTTAAATAACATGGGGTGGTGAGTAATAGCTCATTTGAAAGAGGGTTTTATTCTCTATTCAACCATGTAAAAAAATTTGAAATTTGCTTCATTCATTCTCGACTAATTGTTGTTTCAGAATAACGGAAATTAACGTAGCGCACTCATAGTTAGAATTAAAATTCGGCCATGCATGATTTCGGTTTTGGTTCACACCTGAAGTAAGACTTTTTGCCATTAGAAGGTCACTGTTTAAACGCTTTCCTATTTTGTGAGGTATTGTTATTTTTAAACATTAATAAATCAACACGTAATGAGGCAAATTTCAAAAAATTAAATGTCGCATGTCGTAGGAATCTACATACTCTTCCCAAGCATTTTCATTAACTTCCCATAGTTGACAGCGGTTTGTCGGCTTAACGTCTCTTTGGTACAACTTTTTGGCTATAAAGCCTCAAACATTTTCAATGGGATTCAAAGGACTTTTTGTTGGCCACGGCAAAAAATATATGTTGTTTTTGATCTATTCTCTTCCTTGTAACGAGATCTCTAGTTATTCTATCTACTTGTATAACGTGTTTGAGTTCAATTGATTGGGCGTGGGTTAGGTTATTAAATAACTCGAATAACTTTGAAAAAGAAGTTGGGCACCACTACATTTAAAGCTTACTATACCACTAACAAATTATATTTAAACCATGCTTTAGATAAGGTAGTAGCAAGGAATGTTTTATCGCATGGTATATCCTCAGGCAACTTCTTCAAAGGGATTCGGAATCCTTATTCGTAATTCTGCAACGTGAATGATCTCGTGATATTTGGTATTTTAACACGAAACTGTCTAGATCTTCTAGAGATGAATTAAACCACGGTTTTCAGATTATACCAAAACCAAAACAAACTTCTAGACATAAAAACCATAAAACATCTTGATAGGAATTCAAAAACGTCTTGAGAGAAATTCACAACCGTCTAGATATAGACATGCTAAAAAAAGGTTTAAAATGTTAAGACAGGAAATAGGAAATTGGAACAGGATTTAGATAAAATGCTTTAACTATTAAATGAACAATTTAAAACTATTAAATGAATAATTTCACAGAGACTAAAATTAATATGAAAAGGAAAAATCTTGATACATTTAAACATAGTAAAGCATAATATCTTATTCCAAAAAAATAATATATAAATTAATCATGTGTGTTACTCATTGTTGATACGATTTGCGGTTATCTATTAAATGAACAATTTAATTAAGAAATCCTTGTACAAAATATATATTTTCGACAATATATCATTATTAAAACTTACCTTATAAAATCAGACGGCCAATAAGAATATTAAAAATCACCTAATACATAGGATGACCTACATATATTTAAATTCAAATTAAGTTGATTCGTTGACATCCAAGTCAAAAATAATTCTCACACTGATGGAAATGCGCCCACTATTAGTAGTACCCAACGTATAATTGTTTTCTAATCTTGAGTTTCTAGGACGATAAACTCGAAACCTTTTGCTGTTAGAAGATTGGAAAGTTTTTACATCGAAGAATACAACGTTCTTCCAAAATTCCTTCCTGTCAATGAAAAATTAATTTGCAAACTGAACTATTTTCTTATTTTCTGCAGTTAAAAAAATTTTGCGGACAGCATAATTATCATTTAAGCCAGCTTGTTTTAAACGAATTTGAGCTGCTAATAATATTTCCAAAGGGAATTTGGCGAATATATTCTAAGAGAGCATCGTTTTTATTTTCATTGAGATCTTTTCTCTACACCTTGTCTGAAAGGTTTTCGAAATCCTTGCTCTTCTTACTAGCATTTCTTAACGTAAAATGTATAACTTTTAATTCAGCAGCCATTTCACTAATGACCAAACTTCTTCCAATTATGCTATAATTATGAGCCTCAGTTAAATTTGATAATGATAATGATAATGATAATGATAATGATAATGATAATGATAATGATAATGATAATGATAATGATAATGATAATGATAATGATAATGATAATGATAATGATAATGATAATGATAATGATAATGATAATGATAATGATAATGATAATGATAATGATAATGATAATGATGATAATGATAATGATAATGATA